AAGCAGTGGTATCAACGCAGAGTACTCTAATTCGTGGCAGATGGCTATGGAAACTGGGCAGCCGCTTCCTGGAACAAATGAAGTAGGTCTAAACAAAAATAGCGATGAGAGAATGGACGAGCGCACGAAGGCCCATATTCCCGGATACATGGAGCAGAACAGCGTTCAATCCTCAACCCCGCTTCAAATTCACAGCTTTTCTCATCACTAGGAGAAGCGGGGTAGAAGAAAGAACGGAGAAGCAACGACATGGAAAAACGAACAAGGCTAAGAACGCCCAAAATCATGAAAAACAAGAGACAAGTCCCAACTCATGCAATTTCAGGATTTCTCCTACTCCCTAATTCGTGGCAGATGGCTATGGAGACTGGGCAGCCGCTTCCTGGAACAAATGAAGTAGTTTTGAGCAAAAAACAAGAAGACAGAATGAACAATCGCACGATAGCCCATCTTTCCGAATACAAGGCGCAGAAAAGCGCTCATTCTTCAACCCCGCTTCGAGTTCGCAGTGCTGCTGATCAAAAAGGGAAGTGGGGTGGAGGATTAAGGCCAAAATGAGCGAAATCTGGAAGAAAAACCGTTGGAAACGGTCAAAATTCTCCAACTCCCGCCGTTCAAAACGGTGCGGGGCGGCTGCAGCGCATGCAGCACAGTGCTGGAACTGTTCCCGCACAGTTCCCGCACAGTTCCCGCACAGTTCCCGCACAGTGCGAGAACTGTGCGGGAACAGTTCCAGAACAAGGGAATCAGTATGAACGCAGCCTAAGAGTCCTTTTCACCTATTCGCGCTCTCTCCAATTTGGATTTTCAGATTCAGCATAGCGAATAGGTCCGGCTAAGCACAAAATCACAAGACTTTTTACCCGAACACTGCTTCTAAGAAAACATCTTAGATCGATTTATTCTATTCGCATCAATAATGAGCTTTCAATAAAGTATTCGCAAAATTTCTTGGAACAATCGAATATAAGTTGTATAATAAGAACTCACAACGTCGAATTCATTCTTAACCATAGCCTGATGAGCTCTTAGTGAGTTGAAAAATGTATGCCCATTTTTGCAGTTATAGAAGGTGTCACTAAAGTTGCATATAAAGGCTCAAAGGATATGAAAATCTATAAAACTAACGAAAGACGAGAGTGCCGCAGGTTTTGCGAGCCAATGCGAATGTCATAATCAGCATTTGAAAAAGCCTGAATAGGTACAGTCGGTTTCATCCCGGATTAGGCGAAAGATTCTAGGTGGAGCAGCGCGTGCGCATCGCAGGAGGCTTCGCGAGCGCATAGCGCTGGCATTTTGCCAAGCAAAGACTGAGGAGAATGAAGAGACGCAGACTTGGGTTCTCAGCGCGATATGATATACTGTAGCTGCGAAACGGCGCGAACAGTTGCGAGGCGGACGCCCGCCAATCCAATTTCCGCCTAAAGCGGGTCGAAACTCACTGTAATATTCTATAATGCGTCTACCGGGGCCAGCGCCGCTTAGTGTCACACAACCATGCGCGGGCGCTACCGTCGCTATAACGTGCAGGGACCATGCTGCGCTAAACGGCCTTGTTTTAGCCACTCTTCCTGCTTCTTTTTTACACTTATTCTCTCTCGTTTCAACTCTGGCTTTTATGTATACTCTACTTCACTTTCTGAAGACTCTCAAAGTATCGCCGCGCGAATGGAAGACAAAACGGAGATTTGAGGTTTTTTAAAAGAATAAGATAATCAACATCATTTTGTTTGAGAACTCTAAAAAGGATTGGTGTTCTCCCTCCTTACTGAATGCAAAGATGAATATTGTAAGATGTAATTGTATAACGTATATGTTGAGAGAACAGACGAGTGAACAGCGCGTTGGCGTCCCTATACGTCTTACAATAACGACATACGGAAAATCAGCAATCCCAAGAAGGCCTGGATGAAATGAAAAGTGTCATTATGAAAAGAAACGCTCAAAGATTTGATATCTCTTTCCTTTTCTGCTTAGAGAATTGTATGCGAAATCAAAGCAGATCGCCTATGAGCAAATCCTAAAAAGTCAATGTGCGCTGCAATATAAGCGAAAAATGGTGAGATACAATGGCAAAAACAAGGCCCGCGATGTTGTGCCAACATGGTCCCTGCACGCTGCGTAAGATAGCATTCGCGCGTAGATGTGTGGCTTACGAGGTGCTGGCCCCGCTAGACGCATTGTACACTTACACTAAAAGTTTTCAACAAACCTTGAAGTGTATCATGTTCTCGTCCGAATATAATCCGTTACACATGGACATAGAAACATAACCAACAAAAAGAAAAGCACTGCAAGTCTCTGTTTTCATGAGTTTCACTTTGATCATCTGTATCAAATTAAACTGAATTGAGCTTTCATTTTGAGGATTTTCTTGCCAAAAGTGGCAACATAATTATGATTGCTCCCTCCAAGCTTTTGCTAGCCGCGCTCCTCCCTTTGCTTCACACATACTTGTTACTTGTACTATGTACTTGTAGCGTTTTACTATCCGGGCACTTGGAGAATCGCTCCCCCCCCCCCCCCACCCTCAACTCCTTTTCACCCAGAAGCAAGTGCCTGTTCCATATCCGACAAAGTTTTAGCAGCCACGTGCACTCTTTTCATCTGGGTCCCTGCTTCCACACTCAGTGACTTCCCGAGCTGCCTTAGAACCCTCCCCGCCCCCCTCCCTCCCCCCCCCCCCAAGAAAAAAGTTCTTGCTCAAAGTAGTCTTATCTCTTTCCGAAATTGAAATAGCGAGAAAATTCGAACTGTCCAGAATCCTTGCAATTCTTCATCCATAGGTGCTCCGAAATCCATTAATTTTCAGGTTATCTTGTTGTTAGGAAGTTACTGATTCAAATTGTTGAGAGGACCTACTCAAAGGTGTTATCTTTAGCTGCTCAATCAAAATCTCCGCTCCTTATACAAATTTGAGGTTATTCACATTTGTAGGGCATATGACGCCTAAAAAGTTGTGATTCTACCTAGATTGTTTAGAGCTTCATCATTAGCAGAAATCTTTGAGCAGAAATTTTTTACACATCAAATGTAGGAAAAATACTCACAAAGTCAGTACAAAAGCATGTATTTTGAAGGGCGCGAATTTTTTTTAGCCATCTGAGGCTCGCAGTGAAAATTATGATAGTCTAAAATGCACTCTTTGACGCGTTTTGAGTAGTGGACATTTGTAGAATGAATGTTGTTTGTAAATACCTTTTGAATGACATGTTACAGTTTTACAGATGCTAAACATCTGATTTAGAAATTATCAATCACTGATCTCTTGTACAGAGTCAACAATGTTTTCTAGCCAAATTCGGTGTCGCGCTGTACAAAGTGTAGCATGATCAAAACTGTGCTCAAATTACTGCTAAAAACACAGAATAAAGTTGTTTCTAGAGTAAATCAGCATCGACATTTGTGAAAAGTAAAGCACTTTGATTTCAAAAGCTTGCAATGTTCTCCTGAAATATTAGGTTGTCGGATAATTTCTGTTACACTTTTTATTTTAATTCTTAAAAATCTCAGAAGCTTTGAAAAGATCTCATGTTCACGGTGTATGGGCAGGGTCAAAAGGCCTATACAAGGGTACCGTCGCATCCGCGATCCATGCGCAAAACACTCACTTTGTGGCTAAAAATCCGTTTCTTCCCATTTTTGTAAATGAGCTGGCGTTCTCTCATGTGATGAGCGATAGACCGGACAATGTGGTAATCAGATAGGGCATAGTCTGTAGCATTTAGCTAATATGGGGGATAATGCTGACAGTCTGCACACGTTCTTCTGAGCGGTTCAAATCTTAGTGTGCGCCATCTTTGCATTCATCGGAATTTTTACGAAGAAAACGTCTTCAAAAAACTTCAAAAAATCATTTTTATGTTTTCTGTATTCATTTCTAAACGATGCACATAAAATGAAGAATTTAGGAAAGTTTTTGAATTTTTTTGATATTTTTTCACCCCTCGTTTTCGGAACGCTAAAAGCACCGCAATGCCTTTATGTAAGAGACAATGCCAAAATACGTTCTAAAAAAATTCTGGAGAGGGAAAGGTGCAAGTTGGTGCAGAGAAAAAGATCAGACAAAAACTGAAAATTTTGACTGCTTTTACAAAACTGCCGTAAACTTGTTGGTCATTAGTGCACTTGCGGAATCAATCATGCTGGTGGGTAGACCCTGCTATGTCCTAAGCGTGTTGCAGATTTGGGGTTTTCAGAAAGCTTTTGGGATTTTCTAGAAATTAAAAAAAAAGTGTAACAGAAATTATCCGACAACCTAATATCTGACGATTTTTTTGAATGACATAAACATTTCAAACGAAGTGCTCTTCAAAATAAATCATAAGTACAGATTGTCCGAGGAAAGTAGAAGTATCTAAAAGAAATTTCCAGAAGCAGATCTAGTGCAGTTTGTCTGAGGTAAAAACATTTGCTAAGCATTTCATAAAGAATCCGAAAAATTCAAACCTTCTTGCTGAGATATGTTAGCAGAAAAATTAGAAGGCAGGATAAATCCATCGGAAAAGATTTGGTGCAGCTGTTTTGGGGTGAGGAAACATATCATGCGCTCGAGAAATGAATATGGGGGCCCGTAATATTAGGTTGTCCCGAAAGTTTTGTCCGTTTTTTCAACCTATCATAAAAATACGTGGAACAAAGATAGGGAAACGCTCCAAGCACTACACGACGCATCTTTTCCTCCTCTTTCTAACTGTTGTAATCTTGTGCAGATTACTCTCTTGCTCACTGAGATAAACGCCAAAATTTCGAACCCTTGGTTTTTACTATGTCCAAGTTTGACAATTTTTCACAATCTTCATTTTCAACTTTTGGAAGGCCTTTGATAGCCCTCGGATAGAGTAAGCAAAGTGCAATGCAATGCAATCATTTGGCATATCTAGCTGGCTTTTCAATGTTTTTAGAGATAATTTTTTCAAAAGTCTTCACTTTTGCGAAGTTCTAAAATACAGAAACGCCTCGAACACTAACAAATCATCGGATTTTGAAGCTTTCAAAAACCGATTACGATTATTCACTATTTTTACGAAGCAAATGAGGGTTTACCGCTTCGAAATATAAGATTTTGCATTTTACGTGTACACGCTGGGGTGGGGTCAAATTCAAGAATTATTAATACTTTATCGCCAAGGATCTCGCAAATTGGGGAGAAAATACACTCAATGGAAAGAGGAGGAAAAGCTGCATTGAATAACACCTAGTTGTGCGCCGTTTCATGATCTCTGGCTTTTGGCATCACCAAAAATGGAATTTGATAGCATCAGAAAAATGCTTCTAAAAAATTTTCAAGGCTGGCTATAGATGCCGCAAAATTGCATTATATTGCCCTTTGTTTGCTCTATCTAACTGTTGCCAAAGCTTTTCCGAAAGTCAAAAATAAGGATTGTGAAAAATTGCCAAACTTGGACATAGTAAAAACCATTGGTTCGAAATTTCGACCGTTATCTCAGTGAACAAAAGATTAATCGGCATGGAAGCATGAGAGTTAGAAAGAGAAGGAAAAGATGCGTCGGATAGTGCTTAGAGCGTTTCCCTATCTTCGTTCCACGCGTTTTTATGATAGGCTGAAAAAACGGACAAAACTTTCGGGACAACCTAATATATTGCTGAAATATTTGACATTTTTGAAAACTTATGGTGTCCAAATTAAACGCTCTAGAGTAGAAATGAAGAATCTCAAGATTTCAAGAAAAAAACAAAATAAATCTTCTAATAACGATTTCGGCTGCACTAGAATAGAAGAATGGTAATCTTATCTTAAAGGTCTTAAAAGAGGTTGTGCTCAAATCAGAGGATTGAAAACATTTTTTCTAAGGATTTGATGCAGTTTTCTGTGCTGCCTTATTAGAGCTTTTCAAATAAACTGAATACTCTTAAATCATTCCAATAGGGTGCTTCTTCCAAATTTATTCAGGAATAAAAGAGTTTGCAATTTTTGTATTAATGTTAAAGGAATATGGAGTTTTAAGAAAAATTGTAAACTACCTGTTCCAATTCAATCGAATTCTGGTCGCTCTTGTAAAACGATTCGAACTGTACGAAAGAGTTAGCCTGTCTAGTGATTGTAATTTTTTGGTTATGCCAATTGATCAACATCATCTAAGACAGGCATCACTGCAGCTATGAGTCATCAGCTCGGTACGCTTGCACCGGCACAAAACGACGGACGGTTGTTTACACCTTTGGCGCGGGCGATGACGTCAGATGGGGGTGCTTGCGCTTTCTATTTTGGCATGTGAAGGAAATATAGAATAGTTATGAGAAATAAAAGATATTTGTTAGAGTTGCGTAGGTTTGTGTTGTTAACGATTATTGTTTTATTGTAGATCATGTTGTACTTTGTCCCCGCGCGGCTATAAAAGGCCGCCGGCTGTTGTTTTTTTGTTCTTATTGTTATTGTTCTGTTCCGGGCTTGTCCGGATGAAGTTTTTTATTTCTATTTTTCTGCTCCACGCCAGACGCCCTCCGCATCAGCTGGGGATGCTGATGCGGAGGGCGTCTGGCGTGGAGCAGAAAAATAGAAATAAAAAACTTTATCCGGACAAGGCCGGAACAGAACAATAACAATAAGAACAAAAAAAAAACAACAGCCGGCGGCCTTTTATAGCCGCGCGGGTACATACAACATGATCTACAATAAAACAATAATCGTTAACAACACAAACCTAAGCAACTCTAACAAGTATCTTTTATTTCTCATAACTATTCTATAATTCCTTCACAGGCAATATCATCACTACTGTCTATAAGCATTGCATCGCGCAAGTTGCACTCTTGGCAATCTTGCGACGACTTGGCAAGGTGTGCAGAAATGTTTCGTAATGCTCTTTGGCAGTCCTCCGTCTCTTGGGCTTCGCTCTTTAATCGGCTGATGACTGCAGGCCTCGGTGAGCAATGGTCGCAAAAGAACGAATAATTTGATGGCAATTGGTGGAGAGTGATCTGAGCCACCCGCCTTATATAGCAGGCAGTGAAGGTGTGCAGGTGCTCTGACGCGTGGGCCCCACCAGGAATCAAGTACCATATTGAGACTATCAAAATAACGCAGCGCACACATTGGCTAAAAGCACCAGGTGACAAAAATAGATCAAAGGCAGCGTCCGGGCGAAGTTTCAAACAGATATTTTCGCTTAACCAAGCTTATTTTTCTTGTGATTCCAAGAATGCTCCTTGCAGAGTGCGAAAACATCGAAAACGGGCTATCCCTGAAGCTCCTCATTGGATTTGGACGCTTTCCGCCGATGTTAAGACATGGAGTCGTGGCGAGACCCTACGTTTTTGTGCGATGAAA